AAAGTCTTAGAAAGTTTGTTCTCTGAATACAAAGTGACTAGATTAAAAGTTTTAACTATATATTTTTAAAAGGACAGAAACTGCAGTATGTTTTCAAACCTAGTCTTGGAACTAAACTATCATCACTTCTGCCATATTCTCAGTCACACAAACTAAACGGAACATGGTAGGGTATGAGAACACTCACACTAGGGTGTGAGAACCAGGAATTGGGGGTCTCTGGGTCCAGCTTAGAGACTGGTTACTGCAACACCCATGAAACTGGACAGTTTTGATTGGTGATGTGTGTGCAGTGAGAGGTTGGTTTCCTCCTCTTGTGCTTTCTCTGGTACTATTCCAGTCCTGGGACATAAACAACACTGTAAGTGGAAACATATGCATCACAACCTCTCTTGACTAAGCTGCCCTTATTTTCTGCACATTTTAAGCACAATTTAGCAAAGTCTATTCTAAAACTCTGCTTATGTCTTAGAGTTGAGGCTTTCTCTTGGAACCCTAATTCTTTGCAGGATTCCTGGGTGTCTTTGTTGAAAAGATGCCACCACATCTAATTTAGTTGGTTATTCACAGGTCTCTGACTCTGTGTGAGAACTCTGAGCATGTCCATGCTGCAGCAACCTGACCCTGGCAGGAGAGTATGAGCATATAGGAGGCCACAGGATAGGAGGCATAGGTGTCACCTCACAGCCACTGGCACTTGGTAATTCTAGGAGGTTCTCACTATGTCCCCTGAATGCCACTCACCGAGTTATTTTCCTGTTTCCCTTATCCTCTGTGCAGGAGCCATTGTATTCACTCAGGAAAGAACAGGGAGTTAGAGGCGAAAATGACTCGCGTAAGATGAAGACATAAGCAGCTTCTTTTCACTGGTGAGATGTGAGGGCTTCCAGAAGGTATTTCTGTTCCCAAGGCTGTCATCCCAACACAGAATTCCAGAAGCAGAGACTGTGGGACTATGCGCTCCTCCATTCAAAATCCCTCTAGCTAGCATTGAGGAGAAGGTATGCTTCCCAAGAACAGAAGTTCTGTCAGAGCTGACTTTTTTCAATATCCCCCATCTTCAAACATCTGTGACAGACTTATTAAATGTTGGGCAAATAGTTCCTCCCTTGAGAATAATAAGTCCTTTCCTGTGTTCAAAAGTCTGTTTCAACTACCAGTGCCTCAGGAATACTAACACATCAGTCATTGTACCTTAGCACTCATGAAGTCTCTCAAGTAGAAAGTACTTTTGTCCAAGTGTTGGCGTTGCTGGAATAAAGCTGTCAGGCAATGTGGAGACGGAGATTCAAGATTTAATTTGGGCTTCCAAATACAGGCCAGCCATCACCCTCTAGAAAGTGAGGCTCGGAGCAGTTACAGAAACTAGATTTATACACTGCTGGCAAGGAACGGAAACTTAGTTGTTAAAGAGATAATATTCTTACAGTGGGCCCTGCGATGTTTGTCAAGTCTTAACAAACCATATGACCAGCATCCTGGTCCTGTTGCAGATGGTAATCAGTTTTTTTTTTTTAAAGATTTATTTATTTATTCATACAGAAATGGGGTACAGGCCAGAGATGTGGAAGGTGAGAGGATTCACCAGAGACAGAGCAGGGAGCAGAACTGGCAGATCTACGAAGTACACTGCTGAGGGGAGCAGCGGGTGGGTCAGGAGAGGTCTGCCACGTGGATCTCCTCCGGGGCAGGCGGGGATCGAACTCATGCGGAAATGGCTTAAGCTTCTTAGTGCAGTGCTTTAACCCGCTGCGCCACCAGGGAGGGCCCAGATGGTAATCAGTTTTACAAGTTTTTTTTTTTCCCTTTTACAGCAAAGTTATTGGGGGAATTTCCTATTGTAGCAAACAGCAAGCAGAATACAGAAGCAAAATAGCATTAGCTTGCTTCCATACAGGTCCAACACCAGTTTTGAGAAATACTTGGATGGACATAAAGAAAGTCAAGGCACATGCCTTGAAGGACCCAGTAAGCTCTTTTGTCAGTTTGGTTTCTGTTAGTTACATGAATGAGCTAGGGGAGAGCTTGAGTATGATGCCATCCAAGCAGGTAGGATGAAAAAATGTTTCATCTATCAATAGTAGGCAGTCTTGGCATGAGTCTCAACATAAACGCAATGGAAAAACCCCAATCTCGTATTGCCAACCACTGACAAACTTTGTAGCTTCTTCCAGTTCCCTCTCTGTTCCACAGACAGAGTCTGGGGCACATGCTAGCCTTGAGTAGTTCCATTTCCATTGTATGTGTGTATTTATGTAATATCAAAATATCTTACTCTGTGATTTTCCTTTTTATTCTCTTGATGGTGTCTTTTGATGAAGGAAGCCTCTTCTTTTTCAGGTTGCCAGTTCATCCATTTCCTCTTTATTCATAGATATTTTTGTATTCTCTTTAATACATTTATCCCTACTGTAAGACTATAAATATGTTTCTTCTATAAATCTGTTTTTACCTTTTATATTTAGATACATTAGGTCATGATGAGTCTGCAAATGATTTCTGTGTTGTAAAGTTCAAGATCAACTTTGTTTTCCAAATGGATGTCCATTGACCCATCTCCATTTCTTCAAAAAGTACATCCTTTCTCCCATTGATCTGCAATGTCACCTTTGTTATAAACCAAATGAGTATGTGTGTGTATATATATATGTGTGTGTGTGAGTGTGTGTATTACTCTCTATATATATTTCTATATAGATACATATCTATGCATATATATTATATATGTGTAGATACATATATGTATATATATGTATGTGCACATATACATCTATCTATATAGATATCTATATATAGAGAGATATAAATATATGTATCTATATATATATATAGAGAGAGAGAGTATAATTTTAGCAATAACTATCACCATCTCCCCATCATACATATAAACACACTGTGGTAACATAGTAAAATTTACTTATTTATTGTAAAGTTCTACGAGTTCTGACACAGGCCTACAGTTTGAAGCTATGGAAGTTTTAGGAAGGAGCGCACTTCACTTCACCAGTCTGCTGTGGAGGACATATTGACATGTTTATGCCCAGGCCTAATGTAAAAGGGATGGGAAGCTGAATTTTCAAACAGGCTCTTCCCTTTGTGAGATAGCATGAATGCCGAATGCTGTCTCATACAACCTTCCAATCAAGCAACTACAGCTGGAAAAAAATTAATCTCTATTGCTTGTGTAGAAAAGTCCTAGAGGGAATAAGATCGGCTAAATTTGCATCATTTTCTTGTTTTACTAATCACTATGGCAAAAGCGATGGAGTAGGTCTGTTGGACCAAGCCTGGGTATTCATTTTCCAGGGTCCATAATGGACAGTGTTAATTCCACCAGAGTCCCACAAAATGGGTACCAAGAAAAAGATAAGTTCTATCAAGATAAGCAGATAAGGTGTGCTGCACAAAAACTAAAGCGAAGCAAAATATCACTATAAAATGTAAGGAAGGAAAAGGAGAAAGGTAATCACTCGATATGGAAATTCCAGAGGCCCTGGGTGTTGCGAATAAGATCTATGAGGGCAGGGTGGCAGAGAGAAGCCACCTTGCTGGGGAGTGAATGGGTGGTGCAGGAGGGGTGAGTCAGTGGAGCGGGATGGGCATGGCGAGAATGGATGTCACTTTCAAGATGACTGGCTGTGAAGAGCACCAGTGTCTTGACTTGAGTTCCCCATAAAGGTAATCCTGGAACAAAGGTTTGAGAGCAAGTAGTCTATTGAGGAAGAGATACCAATAAACATCTGTAGAGGAGAGAATAGTAAGGGAAAGAAAAGAAGGAATTCCACAAAAGCTGTATTAATGAGCAGGTTGCAACTGTGGACGACTGCAGTTCAATCCTGCCGATAACCGTCATGGCTAGAGAGGACAACTGGGAGAAGGGGTACTGGAATGCAAGTACCCCAGCACTTCTGCTCAGTTTCTCCTCTGAGAGGTCTTGTCACAGTCCGTGAATATCTCCAGGTGATGGCAGAGCTGAAGCTTTTGTGTGCAAAATGGGCGAGTTCCCCGCTCCAGAAAATATAGGCAAAAACAGGAGAGAGGGGGGAGCTTTTAAACGTGCTGATACGTGAGCAGTGAGAAGATGAGGCAAGACTCCAGAATGTTCTTTCTCTAAAGAAGAGTATAAATGTGAGGCGCATTAGTGATGTGGGTAATTTATGAGGCGAATTAGGGAAATCTGAGTCAGTCTTGTGCCCCTCAAATGAACCAAAAACTGTTTCCTCAAAGGAAATTAGAGTGGGATATCAAAACCAAAGGGTCTTAAAGAACCACTCTGTCCCTCTCCTAAGGGGAAAAGCGAATGGACCAATTCCAATAGATGAGGACGCAGAGCAGAGGCCAGGGTCCGCACCGTTTTGTTTCACCCCTCTAGGTCAAGCGCCGCCAGGGAGGTCTCAGCAGGTGAAAGGAGCATTCGACCCATCCTAAACCAACAGCCACCAAAACGCTCCGGATTCTCGATTGCCCTTAAACAGCAAATGAAAGGAAATGCAACTTGGAACCAGATGGGGCCTTGAAACTTTTTGTCTTCATCCACCAAAACGTCATTTTGAAATAGCAGGTAGAAGACCCAGCGCGAGCCTAGCAGAAAGGGATCTTCGCTGGCACCGCCCCTCTGGCCTCGAACCGGAGCAGTAAGGCCGCGCCCAGGTCTCCCGCCCCGGACCACGGCTAAGGCCACGCCCCCGCCGGAGAACCCCCACCCCCCCAAACCCAGGCCAGCCCGGGGGGCCTCTGGAGGGTGCAG